TTGGGACTTATACAGTTTACAACTTAACCTTGGTAGTTACGGGACCCTCTTTTCGAGATCAGTTTTTGGAACCCAAGCTATTCTTTGCTCCCAATGAGATTCATTGGACTTATGCACTCTACAACTTAACCTTGGTAGTTACGGGACCCACTTTTCAAGATCAGTTTTTGAAAAACCCAAGCTATTCTTTGCTCCCAAGGGAGCAAATATCCTAGATTCAGTCCTATGAGTAAAACCCTAGCTAGGCGTATTTTAGAAAAAGGATATAATTTTTTTTCTCTTTAGTGATCAACCTCAATAAATAAATAAATAAATAAATAAAAATCTATGTAACGAGAAAAAAATAATATCCTAATGTCAAATAAAAATCATCTAATTTTACTACTAATCTAAGTGCTTTGGAAGATCCTTTATTTTTTACAACTACTCATTTCACGATTCTGGAGGGGACCTCAAAATTTCATGTCCACAAAATCATCCTAAATAGAAAATTTGTGCCGTGGAGTAGAAACACAATATGCTCCAGCGAGACCATGCTATGCACTCTCAAGGAGCCCTTTCCGTTTATTGCACTACCAATTAGAAAGAGCCTTTTCCGTTTGTTTGATTTTCGTAGTTTGTTTTTTAAAGAAAATTTCACATGTTAACCTTCTCCAAAAGTAGATGCAGGTTCTATTTCCATCCATTTCCCATGCACAATGTTGCTTACTATTTACTAATTTACTGCTACACATATTTCCTAGAGTATTATTCAGAAGTTTATTAACATCATACTACCCATTGTTGTAATTTTTGAGTGAGATATAATTATCTAAAATAATAATTAAAAATGTATGCATGAGATGTGAGAATTCGCTATAGCTTGTTATGTATTGTAAGATCATTTAGTATTATTTCAAGGAGGTTACAACTTCCCATAGTCATTAGATGCCAAATTAGATGGTTTGGGGTTGGGACATGTCACGAAGTTCGAATTTGTTTTTCTTAAATTTGAGCCTAGGCAATGACACAATTTCAACCACGCAATAGAAAATCTAATAGACTAGAATGATTGTGACTTCTTGTACTAAAAATTATTGGTTTTTTATATACTTTTCCTTATTTACTAATAAATGGTTTCTTATGTACTTTTCCTTATTTACTCGTGCTCTCCATTAGAAAAAAACATTAAAGTAGGGTGGAGGTGCTTCAATCCCCACTCTTTTTCTTTTGTTTTCCGAGCTAATTAAATGTTGAGGTTTTGCCGCCCTATGTCCTAGGTTCAATTCCTACCATGGGTAGGGGCCCTCGCCCACTGACTCACCTAAATAATAATAATAATAATAAATGCGGAGGAAGCCGAAAATAAGAGGTCACTCTCTAGCTCTTTAGACTTTAATTGAGCTCTTAAAGGAAAGCTCTTATTCAGAATTTTCACAAAAGGAGTTTCCAAATTCTTCATCGGGATAACGCACCTCACCTTTAAAGCTCTATCATGTCCATTGTTCGTAAAAGCGTTCGATCTAATTGCTAACCGCGCGGTTAGATCGGAACCGGCCAGTGGTCGGTTCCAATTTTGGGCGGTTAGGGTGATCAATCGGTATTTAAAAAAAAAAAATTCAAAAAATATATATAAATTCTCATAAATAAGGAATTTGATTTGTAATACATTTTTAAATATTTTTTACATTATGGTAAATATTTAAAATTATTTTGGTCATTAATACTCACTTTTATATTTTTCCATTTGTTTCAGAAAATTTTAAAAATAGCCCTAAGAAAATAAAAAATGGGTTAAAATCTTTTTTTTTCATTAATTTTCAATTTCATTTAAATGTGTTTTGTTTTAATCATTCTTTATATGCTTTTCATATTTTAGTAGATTTTTTTTTTTTTCAACACTTTTTTGACCACCCGGGACTTGTCCGGTTAAAACGGTTGAATCGGCCAGTCTACCAATTAGGCCGATTAAACCGCTTCCAATCTCAGGTTCGGTTAACTGTTTCGGTTTGATTTTATGAACACCGATCCTGTCACCCAATGCTTCCAATCCGCGTTTTCTTGGGACGAATGACTATCATTATTAGGTAAAGACATTGCTTTATTTGCTTAGAAATTGTTTGAACTTGGACCCACATACGAATGACTGTTCTCTACTCTCCTATCACCATTCCCTCCCAAAGTTAGCAATATGCTCCAATTTAAACATGCTTCCTTCCAGAGTGCCCCATTCTTTTTTTTTTATGGAATATTTTGAATGCTTTTTAAAAGAGGAATTTCATCAAAATACATAAGTAATCAACTATTTAACATTTTGTTTTGATTTAATTTCAAAGTATCCATCAAAATACACAATAGTTGAAAAAGGTACTAAATGGTTGAAATGTTAGGTGTACTTTATTAAATTACCTTTTTTTTAAATAAACTAAAAAACTCACTTTTTCTTAAGAGAACAAAATATTTCCATATTTTGTTTTGAGTACTTCCTTTCTCTCTAATAAGGTATGGTACTCTATAGGGTTGGTGATGGATTTGGGCTAAACCTTGCGGGGTTGAACTTAGTCTGAGCTAGGCCCGCCCACCTGCCTGGCCCAAGATTCGTGTGGGGCCATTGGCAAGGTAGCTCGAGGCAACCTCCGGCCTGGTTTGGGTAGGACCGGGCCTAGCAGATAGTGAAAAAAAAAAAGAACACAAACATGAGAAAAAAAAATGGGTGGGGCTACCCTAACCATAGCAATGCCCATGCTTTGGGCCAGCACTGAGGCCATATTTTAGGAACATGAAACTAGATTTTAGGGGTTAGGCCGGGCCACCTAACCCATTTTAAGCCCTAGTGCTTTGATATTTCCTTACTCTGCATGAGAGTAGCCTTAGCTATCGGAATGTGGTGATGTGATGTGTGTGATCTAGGGCCCAAAGATAAGGACAAGTGCTTTGACTAACCCATATGGCTTGGTGGTGATTACACATCTATAGGTGGTTTTTTAGGTGTGTTTATTTTTTCTGAAAGTATTCTTTCAGATTTTGAAAAAGTTTTGTGTTTGTTTCACACTTTTATTGAAAAGTTCAAAACTAATCGTTCAACAAAAGTTCTCATTCGTTTGTTAAAAAGTGAAACATTATGTTCTTAGGTGGAGGTAGAAACTTAATCGTTTGTAACTTTTTGTTGATCAACTATGTATAATATAAATACATAATATTAGTATTATTAATATGATATAATATAATACAGTACTGTCACATAATATTATAATATTATATTATATTATATATTTATATTTAATTTATTAATATGATTTATATTATATAGTATATATTGATTATATATTATATATAATATGATAAATGTATATTGTATATTATATTTATAAATAATATATTATATTATATAATATTCATATTATTACATTATATATAATATATAAATATCTTATATTATATTGTAATAAATATTAATATTATATATAATAGGGAAATTATAACAAATATACTTTCATTTTCGTTTATTTAAAAAAACCTCAACTTTCATAAACCTCGTCCACACCCTTTTTTTTTTTTTCCAATTTTAGACGTTTTGTGATCAAAATGATCTTCACGGTAGTCGTATTACCGTGAAAACAATTACAATACTTTAAGTTCTGTAATGAATACCCCATTTTATATGGTAATAAAACCAAAAATTATTACAGTACTCAAATTATCAAA